GTCAGAGAGGGAGGCTGCAGATGCAATAGTGCCAGGGGGTGGGGGGGCGGGATACCTGCTGTAGGGGCAGTGCTGGCAGCGGTGCGGCCTCTCCTGCGTGTGTCTGCGTGAGTGCCTCAGCAGGGAACTGCGGTCGATGGATGCGTAGGAGCAGCGGCTGCACTGGAATGGCTTCTCACCTGTGGCGGGGGGCAGGGGGAGGAGGGAGGGACAAACCAAGAGCAGTCAGGAAACAGACCGTCACCTAAACAAGCGAACGGCAGCAGAGAGGCCCAAGGGACACGGACAAAGCAAACAGGTACCATACAGGCATTATTATGCCGTATTTTGATGGTATTTTCAAAAGCAACGCTATTCCGGTATTGAAATCTTGACGATAAAATTGCTTTAGAGAATAGAAGATTCACCTAACGGAGTTCATCAAGTTTCACTAAAGCATTTTTAGTCTGTCATCAGAAGCAAAACTCAGGAAACTTTTAATGATTGTTACTTTTCAATATTATCTAGAAAACATATTTCTTTAAAAATCAGTATAAAGTTTATCGGCGCTGCTCTTGCATGTGCACTGCATGTGCACTGCATGTGCTCTGCATGTACACTGCATGTGCACTGCATGTGTTCTCCCAGCCAATCATATTCATCCTTGCGGTTTGACTCACCCATAGACAGTGTGGCATGTTTGTGAGAAATTTACAAAATTAACAAAGATAACTGCGGAGGAGAAAGCAAACGAGACATTAAGCAAAAACAAGTGTTGCCACTGCTGTGTTAGAATATCTTCAGGCAACACCAACTTATTTGACAGACCATTTTCAACTCCATTTTTTCTGTATAAATATCACAGTATTTAGGGCAAAAAAATTCACATCGTGATATTTTGAACTTTTTTCGTTATCCTCCCACACAGTACAGAGGTGGTAACACATCACGGACGGACATCTCTGCAGGACACCCAGGAATCTCGCCAGGAGGGGGCCACACTCAGGCTTTCATTGCCCCCAAAGAACAAACACCAGGCTCGGACTGTCTCCCCAGGCTTCACACGGCAGCCCACTGGCATCACCATGGACACAGCTCCAGCTCAGGACGAGGCAGCGTGAGAAAGGACCCCCCCAAAGCCCAGGGTCCCCACAGCTCATGGAGAAGAACAAAGCTGACAGGAGATTGTTTTCTCCCGGAAATTAACTGGCCTGGCTTGGAGGATGGAAAACAGGAGGAGGGGCTGATAGGGCAGAACGAGGTGACAGGCCAGGCACTGCACTCAGCAGTCATCCCCCCCCCCCCAACGCCATGTGACCCCCATGCTGTGTTCCCCTCTCACCCCGCATCACCTGTGTGCACGCGAAGGTGCTGAACCAGGGAGGCCTTGAGGCGGGAGCTGTAGGGGCAGTGCGGGCAGCCAAAGGGCTTTGCCCCCTGGTGGATGCCCATATGCCGGTGCAGGGTTAACTTAGTGCTGAACTTTCTGGATGGAGAGAGAGAGAGAGAGAGAGAGAGAGATAGAGAGAGAGAGAAAGAGAGAGAGAGAGGGTAGCTATCACACTCGGGGTTTACACACAGCAGAATGAGTCAATGACTCTAAAGGGCCTCGCTCAAGTGCCCAACGGTGAAATCACTCTGCCAACGCTGGGATTCGAACCTATGACCTTCCGATCCCCGGCACAGCATCCTAGCCCGCTGAGTCACACACTGCCCAATCTGTGTACACACACATGCAAGCATGCCTGCATACAGGGACAAACAGCTTTTCAAGCATCTCTGCCGTGCAGCTTCCCCCCAACTTGCTGAAGCCCTTGTGTTACACTCTACCTCCCACTCGTCAAGCCACGCAACGCGCTCCCGTTCCCAACAAAGGCAGTCACACCCTTTGCAAACACATACTACACATACAGAACAGCTAGGCATCTGTCCGCAGTCCCAAAGTATATGCGCATTGTGCCCCCTGGTGGCGGAAAATGAAATTGCCGACAGACAAGGGACCTGCATCACGAAGCCGGATTACATGCTTAGCTGAATAAAGGTTTAAGGTAGCCCAGTTTAAATGGACTTTTTCTTCATTCACTTACATTTATCCCAGACTACCTTAAATCCGACAAGTTATCTGGCTAAGCAAGCAATCCCGCTTTGTGATACAGGCCCCAGGCATGGAAACCCCTCAAGACACATAAAAAGATGTTTTAAATTCATACTTAATTTTAGGTTAATGTGCGCTAATGTTACATATATTTCCCCTTCACTCAAGTTCACCCCAGCACACAATCCCCATTTCGAGATCAGACACAGATGTGCTCTCAGCATCGGAGACTCTGCCATGGGGATGCAAGGTGAGAAAGCCCAACCAGATAAATACATATTTAATAGGTAGAGAGGCAGATACATACACACATCAAACATATAATAAAATATTATTACACACTGATATGACTAACAAGACACATTCTGAAATATGTTTACAATATACTTTAATTCTATTGAACTTAATATGTTCAAATAGCATTTTCATCTGACCAGTAGGGGGTGCAATTACACTCAGTAAAATCGCCTATGCCTATAGAGCAGAGTCAGATGTGCTTGGCCTGTGTATGGGCTGCTTGTCGAACTACTGATTTTACAATGTAGCTTCAGCTATAGAGAGCTTCCAGCAGACCCCCAGAGACTAACAGAAGCCCCTCTGCAGCACTAAGCCACAGCAGATGTGACTAATTCATGAACAGGCGGATTTTGTCACATACCTGTCACACAAAGGGCAGTAGAAATCCCTCACCCCCCTGACTTTCCTCCCTTCCCGCTGCCTCCGCCGCCTCCTCTTCACCCTCTTCCTCCCCCTTTCCTGTTCCCGCTCAGAAGGGTCGTGAGGCGGGGGTGACTGGCTGTTTACATGACATGTGGGTTAGCCGGTAACCTTCATCCTCAACAAAGTATGAAGCTACTGAACAGAGCCGTGTGCTTTCCAAGGGTTCGCGGGTTCGGGTGTCAGACACGCCCATGGCTTCGATCTCCCTCAAATTCGACCGGCCGCTTACCTTCCAACGCCGTCCTGCTGCGCCGCCTCCGGACCTTCATGCTGACTGACGATGTGTTTGTGGACCTCGTCCCAAGCCTCGTCTGCAGGGGTGGAGTACGGAGATACGGGGAGCTCACAGGAGAGCCGCTGGAACGGCCAGATCCTTCCGGCTACAGGCCAACGATTCTACCAGCCATCTTTAAAAATTAAACACTCTTCAGCGGTAGAGGCTTCACTTTTAACTTAAAAATACGTCACATCTTCGCCATCGGACTGGGCTGTTTAGCAGAAACATGTTTTTGTGACCTCCTCTTAACGGAATTATTTTGGACAAATTAAACCCCCCATGTACAGCTGAGGAAAAAATTAAGAGACCACAGCACAATTTTGTGTTTCACTCATTTCTCAATTTATGGGTGTCCATCTGTGAATAACATACTTTTTTTTTTTGCAAACTGCAGCCTGGTTCCCTGTTTCTCATTAATGAAGGGCTTCTTCCTTGCTTTAAGGGACTTCAGTCGTGCTTCTAGGAGCCTGATACAAACTGTCCTAGCAGTGCACTTCACACCTGCACTTAATGCTTCCCATTCCTTTTGAAGGTCACTTGATGTCATCCTATGATTCATGAGAAACTGTCGGGTAAGTTAACGTCATCTCTGGCATTATAAAGTCACTTCTGCCCTTCACCTGACTGGTTTCTGGTCGTACCCAGTGTCTCCTGCTTCACCTTGTTCTTGTGTACTGCTGTCTTAGACACTTTGAGCCTGGAAGCAGCCTGACGCTCAGCATAGCCTTCTGCCAGCAGGACCAGGATTAATCCGGGATTTAAAAGCGCAGATTTGTTTAAAAATATAGAGTGGTCTCAATTTTTTTTCCACAGTTGTATTACTGACAGCAGTCAACAAAGTCATTATTAGTGTACTACATAGTTTCAATCATTTCATTTTGATGATTTTTGGCTTGCTTACTTGGTCCAGTTCAAGTCAGTGAGTTCTGATGAGGACAGACAGCGCTGTTGCTGCCTTATTGGTTGAGTTTCACAATCAGATAGTTGATCTCATGAGCGAGCTGCTGAGAGAAATCGCTACAGTTTGTTCGGAAATGTCCGAAACCCTTAGCAGCCTGAGACAATAGTTAATGCAGCAAGCCTCATCCATACGGAGCCTGTAGGTGTGTGCCGACCAGAACTCCAGATTGTGGAATTAGACCCAGGCATCACCCTTAGCAATTTTCTAAAAATATTCCTGTGATGGCTGGTCAACAATCGCAGTGTAATCAGACTCGAGGAATTCTCTGGGAATATCTGACTTGAATCAGCCGTGGCTAAACAGCTACAAGATCTGTTACGTTTGGATTACAGGCCTACGTTAGACCTACAGTACTCCTTCGAGACCTATCCGTTACTTTCAAGAGATAGCCAATGTGCTGAGGATGGCTTCTCATTAGGGACACATTTTCCACAGGTAAAAGGAATATTTTATTTTGTCATTCAAGGACATTCGAGAGACGCTGCATCACTGTCCAGGTACTAGATTAGAACTCCTATTCCCAGCGGTACTGAAAGTCAGAGCAGCCAGTGGGAAACAACGTTCATTCAGTGATCCAGACAAGGTTAAACACTACATAGTTGACGCAATGCAGCCAGAGGTACTGCTTGATGCTCAGGTTTAGCCTTTGCTAGCCACTAGATGTTGTCTCTAGAGGTTACATTTGTAGAGCTAAACAAGCCACCATCATGCCACGGGTCAGGGAAGCGGATCTCCTCTGATGGACAACAGGAGCTTGACACAGGGGACATGGGGTCGCTGTCATCTCTGAACCCACACCCACCAGTGAAACTACACCCATCTGTCGAATGTCAAACTATACCTACCTGTGAAGCTGCAGTGAAGGCACCGGAACCCGCCCTGGACATGACAGCGGTCGTGCTGCTCAAACTCCCGCTCGGAGCGGCACCAGGCCAGGCAGCGCGCGCACTGGGCCAAGGCTGGGCCAGATCCACGGCGGCGCTGCTGCTGGAAATCCTGTGGGATGCCGGCGCGGACCCGGCCGGGCTTACTATGTCCCCTCCAGTGACACTCCGTCTCTGAATACTGTTCTGCTGCCCGTCCAGACAAGGAGGGAGTGAGGCCTTGCTCACCTCTGCGGCCCTTGAGGTTCTGTGTAGGGATGCATGACAGTACGGGGTCCTCTGCAGCTTTTCCTGGCACTGAGACTTTTTCGTCAGGGGCAGACTCTGAGCCGTCTTGACCCAGCTGCACTGAGATTGCCCTGGACTCTGGGGCTCCTGCCGGAGGGTGACACTTGATGCTGGAGATCCTGTACAGCCCCAAGGACATGAGGTGAGCCGACTGGGCCTCCTGATCCTGAGCCTCGGGGCTGACTGACCCCATGGAACAGGACAGGGGTTCGGGCAGCTCAACCGCGCTGCTGTCTTCCAAGTGGAAGCGGGCTGCCTCCTCTCCTGAGCTCTCCTCTTCATCCTCCTCAAAAAGAGTGCTCACCTGACAGGAAGACAATGTTCTCAAAGCCCACGTCTGACACATCCTTTTTGTATTTTATAAAATATGTACAGCATACCTCATAGACCCTCAGGAACAGGAATGATGTAAACTGACTCACAGAACAAAACAAAGGGACATTTTTAAGGAGTATTACAGTTAGGGTGTAAATCGTAAGCTTCCACAATACGATTTGATTTCGATTTTTCAAGGCAGCGATTCGATATCTGCTGATATTTGAAATGTTACTGTGACGCGAGTTGATTCGATTCGATCCAGTAATACATGATCGATATTTTCTACACAGTGAGACAAGCTGATTTGAGTGGAATTTACTTGAATTCAAAAGGAAGAAAAATATTAAATTTTAAAGTGAAATTTTTTGAAAAAAAAACTAAAGAAAATGCTTTAAAATTAAAAAATGCCTCAGAAACACAGAAATGTCTGCACAAGAAACATTGTCTTGTATGGCCTGTCTTACATTTTAACAGCAAAACATTTCTGGGCATGTATAACTTAATCTCGGAAAATGTAGGAACACAGATGTACTGAACTACATTAAATGTTCCGTAATATATTGGTCTCTTCTCTATACTAGAGTGAGTCTCTAGATTGCTTTTGTGTGAGAGATTTTTTCACAGATTTTTTTTGCAGCCTTTTGGCATATCGTCATAGTTTAATTATATAAACTGATATTGGTAAACTGAGTCAATTAAATCAGATTGTGGCCTTATCAATCTATATATCCATTAGAATCGATGAATCGTCATACCCATAATTAGAGTGTATTAATGGTCTCTTCTAGTTGCAGGGGGTCCATGGTACCCATGTAACATATAACAAGCGAGTAGTGATGTTAGTGAAGGCTTGGTGACTGCTGTCACGCTCGTTATTTCTGGGTAACCTGCCGCTCACCTCACACGTGTGGGCGACTTCGGCGCCGGGGCCCAGGCTCACGTCACATGACCTGGGACTGATGTTCTGCAGCATGCTGTAGACAGGCATCAGAAAAGGCAAACGGTCCAAGGCCATGTGCTCATCGCGTTCCTTTGCAGCAGAGTGCAGCTCGTCCTCCAGGTCGTATGCCGAAGTGCAGCTATCCAGATCGTCCTCTGCAACCCCCACCTTCACGTCCAGGCTGTCGCCCTCATCCCGGTCCAGGCAGGTCAGGGGGGGGCAGGGATGTCCCCGGTCATGCCTCTCAGTCACATGTGTGGTGATCCTGCCCTTCAGACTGCTGGTAAATTGACAAGCCCTGCAGCGATACACCTTGACCAAGAAGACCTCCACCAAGGCAGATATCCGGGCCTCCATCCCGTCTGCAGCACTGCAGTACAGCCTGGCAGTGGTGCTCTCCTCAGGCAGTTGCAACGTGATAGGTGGGATCTCCCGATAGACAGTCTGGACTTGGCTCATGCTGAGGCTAGCAAACAGGAAAGCACAACAGGGGGATTTAGATGAAGCGCTCAATACAGACACATCATTAAAATGCTCGGTAACGTAGGTTCATATGCCTGAAAGGTGTACCTCAGAAATAAACACTTAAAGAATTACTTCAAATAACAAAAATGTAATAATACATCTGGTAAAAGCCGAGGAACTGAAGCAAGCTGAACCTGGAATAACTGGTCAGGTAGTGTTAAGTACGATAAACTGCAGAAGGTGCAGTTCCAAATCCCAAGACACAGTAAGGGTCAGCTTCAAGTAACACTTGGAGCTGATTTAAGAAAGAAAAAAAAAGAGGGGGATATTTCTGCTATGGTGACGTTCTGTTTGTGTTGGTTAATGGTACTTATTTTGATAAGCTAGTGTTACCTTTACAGGCCACCTCTGGGCGAACAGTCAGAGCTTAACTCAGAAAGCAGCTAAAACCCAGGACCTGACTATCCCAGCACCCGGCTAAATACCGCGTGTCGGTTTCACTAACAACGGTACACGGCTAAATACTGCCTGCCGAGTTCACCTACCCCGTTACCAGGCTAACTACCGCGTGCCGGTTTCACCAACCCCGTTAACCGGGAGACAGACATCCGTACCGCGCTAGGTCAGCTCCTGGAAGCAGGGCAAATCGCAGCCCGTCCGGGATGCCCTAAGGACCGCGGGAACTCAGCAGTCATCGCGGGGTTTTCCCGTTATGAAGCACCTGAAATTAGTATTTTATTTAGGAAAAAAACTGGATTGTCATTGAAATATTTAATTGGATATTCCAAATTAATGACTTTACTATGATCGGACACTAAATAAATACATTTTACTCAGCTCGCTAAATAGATATCTCCTATTGTTTTCAGCAGAGTAAGATTTCAATATCTACGTGCTCCATACACACCTCCGCTGCAACAAACTGCGGCTAGAGCCGCGATTCATGATTCTTTGCGTTTTCTACAAAATCCGCGCATGTCACCCACTCCCTGTCTGCCGACCCTCAACTCACTGGAACTGCGCGTGCGCACAATCGCTGTCTGTCGACCATTTTCTTTCGCTCGCCATATGGCGCATGCGCACATTTCCTACCGTCGACCCTTTTCTTCCACTCATCCTACCGCGCATGTACACAATCCCTGCCTGTCGACCTTTTTATTCCACTTACTATATTGCGCGTGCGCACAGTCCATGCCTGTCGAAGCTTTTCTGTACTCACCCTTACCGCGCATGCGTACAAGTAACGGCCCAGACGATGAAAATGGCCGACATGGAGTGCGAGGTTGACGGCAAGAGTCTGGATAGCGGGAAAGAACGCGAGTAAGAAACCTTACATTTAACTTATTTGTTACGTCGCGGAAACGTTATGCTTTTTAGTTAAGCAAAGGATCTTACAGGGAGGAACGGGGTCGAGTGCCATTCGATACGTTTTCCTTGGGTTGCCGGCTAGCCAGCTAGCGGTAGATAGCATCTTTTTCCAGAAGTGTACAGCTAGCGCGTGCTTCGGTGAAATGTGTATTTAAGCATTTCACACAGAAATTCAGAAATTATTACGCCAAAAGCGAAGTGTACTTTCAGGTGGTCATTGTTCCACTAGGCTTTCTGGGGCGTTCCGGTTTGCTGTTTATACACGTCGTCAAGGCAGAATAACACTTAAATGGGGGGGGAGGTGCTGTTACAGTGGTGTAGGCTAGTCAAAATGCTAACCGAAATAACGCCGTCAGCGAAGTATAACCTGAAAAGCACCAAAAAACTGTGGATGTACCGTTCATCACTTGCAGAGAGGAAAATAAATGAGCCGTCAGACCGGGTCAGTTACAACGCATCAGGGCCGCGTGCAGTAGATAACGTTTTGAAAGGGACGGATTGCAGCGATTTGCAAAGTGTATTTTTGTTTGGAAACTGTCTGATCATCCTATCAAAACGTGAAATTATAGCTGTACACGGTTTATTTTCCTATTTGCGTTGGAAATGATGTTGGCCAGTGTTTAGGTGGTAATTAAACAATTCCGCCAGTTTCCCTTGGCAGCGTCTTGCTTGCCGGTTTTATAGTGGATTCTGCGCATGCCTGCATGCTTCACGCACGTTAGTGTGTATGAAAGTACAGTAAGTGGTACCCTAGAACACGAACTTTAACTCGTTCCGGAAGTCTGTTCGAGTTGCGAATTTTCCCATAAGAAATAATGTAAATTAATTTAATCCGCCCCAGAGCCCAAAATGATTGCCTATTTAAACCAATTTACCTACCTAACTAATGATAACATTAACAAAAATATAAATCTAATACACGCATGGAAAAAGCACAGATACAAAAGCAACAAACATGAAATAATTGACTATAAACACTTTACCTATATTGAGGTAAGTGACTGGTGCAAAGGAGGAGGGATGGAGGGGTTATTGTTTGGAAGGGGAGACGCACCTCCATCCAAACAAGTTTTAGCAGGTCTAGTTTTTTGTCGCATTTGAGTTTTCAGTTGAGTTGCGGCTAGATTTTTCTCGACTGACCCTTTTGAGGTCCGAATTAGTAGAGGTGAATGCTTCTCGATATGTACAAGTTTTAGCTGGAATGCTTGAGTTCCAAGATTTGTTGAGGTAGACTCTAAGAGTTGGGGGAAAAAATCGACAGACCTGTTCGACGTCCCAGTTGATTGAGTTCCATGGTTCTACTTTATTTCAGGCCTCGAGCATGCCACACTATTCTGCTAGTGAACTAGCCTGAAATGAAATTACACTTTATTTACCAAGTCCAAAGAAATTCTTTATTTTTTGCGTACCTCATCTGGCACTCCTTTGAGACATGCAGGTTTATATAGGTGATAATGAACCTTGGGGTCAGGGGGCAAGGTCTGCAATTTATCTGGCACCCCTGGAACATTTTTCAGGGTTATGGGCAGCTGTGATGTAGCTACTGTGCCAACCTGGACATTCAAACCCACGACCTTCTGCTCGCAGCACAGATGCCTAATTTGCAAAACCACGATTCCGTTAAATCATTAATTTTTTTTCTTTCTTTTCTTTCAGAGGAGAAGATGTTGAGAGTTCAGAAAAGAGTGGCAACGAGGAGGAGAATGGTGACGTGTCTGGAGAAGAGGAGGAAGAAGAGGAGGAGGAAGGGCAAAAGCCTGAGGGTGAACCTAAACACAGCAGCAGCAACAAACACAAGAAGAAGAAACGTAAACACCGCAGTAAACACAAGAAACATAAGCACTCCTCCCCTGAAGACAAGGAACGGAGACACAAGCACCGACACAAGCACAAGAAACACAAGCGCAAGGAGTCTTCCTCTTCAGCGCTGGGTAACAGCAATGCCACTGGGGGCAAAGATGAAGGTTCTCCCTCAAGCAAACGGCCCAAGTTTGATGATATGGCTGTGCTGGAGGACCTTGAGAAGCAGAGGGCCATGATCAAGGCTGAGCTGGACAATGAACTGATGGAGGGGAAGGTTCAGTCAGGCATGGGTCTGATCCTTCAAGGTTACAACTCTGGGTCAGAGGAGGAGGGTGAAATCCAGGAAAGAGCAAGAAATGGTGAGCAGCCGCCACAGAGAGGAGGCGCTACAAAGACCCTTACTCCCAAGGGGCAGAGTAACACGCAGACCAAGGAGGCCAAAGTCAGGCGAGAGTCCACAGACGCTGGCAAAGCTGCAGCCAAGCGCCGCAGCAGAAGCAAGTCCAGGGACCGTTCCAGCAAACAGCACAAGTCTGACAAGAAGAAGGCCAAGAGTGCAGCTGAGGCACCTGTCAAGGAGAGGGCAAAGGGGCGCAGCCGGTCCAGAGACAGGAAGCGCTCACGAAGCCCAGACCGGTCCAAGGACAGGAGCAGGAGATCCAAAAGTCCCGTTAACAGGAGACGTTCCTCCGCAGAAAGAAACCGTCGCTCTTTGTCTCCCTCAGGGGAAGCTGAGCGGAAGAATCGTGCCAGCAAACGATCCTCACCACCAGCCCAGGTGGCACAATCGGGCGATAGCCGCAATCGGGACCGCGGGACTCGCAAGTCCAAATCTCCCGAGAGGAGGAGCCGTTCACGGGACCGTCGCTCCAGGTCCCGAGAGAGGAGAGCCAGGCAACTGGAGAGGGAGAAGGAGCGGGAGAAGGAAAAGGAGAGAGAGAGGGAGAGAGAAAAAGAGAGGGACAAGAAGGTGACCAAGTCTCCTTCTAAAGATGCCTCATCTGGGAAGGAGAACCGCTCACCCAGTCGCAGACGGGGCCCCAGCCCCCAGCAGCACCGCAGCTCCTCCCCCCGGCGCAGGGATCGACGCTCCCCCCAACCCACCTCTAACTCTCAAGCCGCTGATATGAAGTCCAAACAAAGGTCATCCTCCAGAAATAGGTCCCCGGTTCGTAGAGGGCGGAGTCGCTCTCTGGAACGCAGGCGCAGGGAAGTTGATCGCCAGCGCCTATCTCCAGTTAGGTGAGGCCTTTTCAGGTGCTTTTACTTGTATGGAGCCTGCATCCAGGTTCCTTTCACACCGGAACAGCCTGTGTTTCACTGATTCCTTTTGATTTTTATTTTTTTCTGTATCCTGTCAGTTTGGGGGGGAAATTATGGGGTTTGTAAGCTCTTTAAATTCCTATGATCAAAAATGTACATAGAATAAAATGACACTTCATCCCCATTGGGGGTTAAGGACCTTGCTCGGTGATGCACCGGTGGCATCACTCTGCTGGCCATGGGATTTGAACCCTTTTGATCACAGGCACAGTATTTTAACCTACTGAGCCAGACACCTTAACAATGAGCTCATTGTTACTACAGTTACGATAATTAAAAAGTGAAATTTTTATGCCGTGTTTCTGCGTTTTCAACCTTTTACGTAAAAATTGACCTTTCAGCGAATTATCTGACTAGTTCAATCTGCCTTAATCAGAAGCTTGTCTACCTATCAGGTCTGACTGGCTCACAGCATGTTGATTTATTTGTTTCATTATCTTACTTTGATAAGTATAGCATTTTAGAAGTGTTAATGTGCAGCACTACACTGCATTACTCTGGGTCATTGTGCTTCAAAGGAGTTGGCTGGCTTTCCAAAGCCCCAGAAAGGCACCAGCCAGCCCTCCCCACAACTGTGTCCTTTTAATGCCTTGAAAACATTCTTCTTTTTTGGGTAGAGATGATCTGTCCTGGTGCCTGGGGCCTAATTATACGGATACTTCTTATGTTTTATGTTCAGTTCAGTTTTTGGGTTTTGTCGGAAACATGGTTTTAGCATAGCCTGAATTTAGAATTACCTATGTGGTTTCTGCAGGATGCGCTCCCGAGACGAGGCAGGGACACGCAGGGAGGCCAGTCCGGTCCTAGGGGCCCGACGCAGACTCAGCCGCTCACCGCTACGACGCCGGTCGCGTTCCCCTCGGAGACGCAGCCGGTCCCCATTCAGGCGGAGGTGAGGCTGCCAGATGTACAGAACACATCGCAGGGCGATCTACAAATTTGCCAGTGATCATCATAGAAACGTTTTCCGCAGCATCACGGCCATTTGCGCTTCCCTACAGGTCACTGGACCGTGACCGGCTGGGCCGCAGGCAACGTTGGCGATCGGGGTCGCGAGACAGGCGCAGGCGGCGCAGCCGGGACAAGGAGGACAAGTTTAAGGGCAGCCTGTCGGAGGGCATGAAGGCGGAGCAGGAGGAGTCCGACGACGAAGTGTGAGTGACGAGTCCGGCAGCAACAATTGCTGGCGTTACTGTCAGGGAAACACTGCCCTTCCCTCCGTCAGGATGTAACCTCCTATTTGGTATCACAGGCTGGAGGACTACGACGTCGATGAGGAAGATGAGGAGGCCGTTATTGAACAGAGACGCCTGCAGAGGCTGGCCATAGTGCAGGTCTGTTTCCTTCACGGTGAGCCAGAGAGGAAACCTTAATGTCGTCATGTGATCCCTGACACTCCCGCCCCCATTCCTTTTACCCCACAGAAGTACAAGACCGTGAATGAGGACAGTAATATGTCGGTGCCGTCAGAGCCCAGCAGTCCACAGAGCAGCACGCGCAGCCGTTCGCCATCCCCCGACGACATCCTGGAGCGCGTGGCCGCCGACGTTAAGGAGTATGAGCGCGAGAACGTGGACACGTTCGAGGCCAATGTGAAAGCCAAGCAGAACCTCATTGCTCCTGAGAAGGACGGTGTGTATCTGTGTGCATTTGTCTTGTGAGGGTTTGCCCACTTCTCTTTTGAGGTTTACTGTATTCTGATGTACTTGTCCCAGTAATCGCACTTGCCTCAGTAATTGTACACTGATGTACTTGTCCCAGTATTCGTCCTTGCCCCAGTAGTCGTACACTGATGTACTTGTCCCAGTAATCGCACTTGCCCCAGTAGTCGTACACTGATGTACTTGTTCCAGTAATCGCACTTGCCCCAGTAGTCGTACACTGATGTACTTGTCCCAGTAATCGCACTTGCCCCAGTAATTGTACACTGATGTACTTGTCCCAGTAATCGCACTTGCCCCAGTAATCGTACACTGATGTACTTGTCCCAGTAATCGCACTTGTTCCAGTAATCATACTCCAATGCTCATGTTTCATCTCTCAGCTCTCCTGCAGTGTTGGAGCATTACTAGCTAATTCAGTATTTAAAGTCCAATGCTGATATTAGTTTTAAAACACTCACACAAACGTTCTTGGCTGAGATCAGTGTTCTGTGGGTATGTTTTATGGTATGTTTTGAGTGGCTTTGAAAGGTTGTAGAATTTTGAGCTTTTATTTTTGATTTCTTTCATAAAAAGGTCAGACTAATGTGGTATAATGACAAACTAACTGGCCGTGTTTCTCTGTCCAGGATCCAATCCAAAAAAGCCATCGGCCCCCGACATGTTCACTGAATCAGATGACATGTTTGCTGCCTATTTTGATGTGAGTATTCTGTCAGTTTATGCAGGGGGGGTGGACTTTAGCGTGCCAGCTGAGGTTTACTATAGTAGCGATCACTGTTTTTCACTGTCCTGTTGTACACTGTTGTAAAGGCAGGAAGTCCTCGTGCCCCAGTTGCTGCCTCTCCCTGGAGCCTGTACCACGCTGTCCGCCCATAGCTGTTTGTGACTTTGTTTCTCAGATGGGTGGAGGTGACCCACACTAGTGCATTTTCTCCTGCAGAGTGCAAGGTTGCGAGCAGCAGGCATCGGAAAGGACTTCAAGGAGAACCCAAATCTCAGGGATAACTGGACCGACGCCGAGGGTTATTACCGTAAGTGTGCCCCTTATGCTCACCGGGAAGAGTGGCCATTGGCTTGTAGGAGATCTCATCTCCCTCCCTTGTTTCCCTGGCAGGAGTGAACATCGGTGAGGTGCTGGATAAGAGATACGGCGTGTACGGCTACACAGGCCAGGGAGTTTTCAGCAACGTCATCCGGGCCAGAGACATGGCCCGGGCGAACCAGGAAGTCGCTGTCAAGATCATCCGCAATAATGAGCTCATGTACTGCTTTTTAATTCACCTGTTCAACCTTTGTTCAGACCTACAGTCTCTGATCCCCATTCTGTGTTCAATAACAGCCTTGTTTCCTCCATCTTGCAGGCAGAAGACGGGGTTGAAGGAACTTGAGTTCTTGAAGAAGCTCAATGACGCCGACCCAGACGACAAATTTCACTGCCTGCGCCTCTTCCGGCACTTCTACCACAAGCAACATCTGTGTCTTGTCTTTGAGCCGCTCAGGTACCCTAACCCTCCACACACCCTAACCCTCAATGCCATGGAGGGTGTTCTTCATCCTTGCTTGTATTGATGGCCCCTTTGTTTGACCACCTCGACCCCCATCTGTAAGCCATCTGTAGCTAGAGGTAACCCCTTTGTCTCCCTCCTCAGTATGAACTTGAGGGAGGTGCTCAAAAAGTACGGCAAGGACGTGGGTCTGCATATCAAAGCCGTGCGCTCCTACAGCCAGCAGCTCTTCCTGGCTCTCAAGCTGCTGAAACGCTGCAACATCCTGCATGCTGACATAAAGCCCGACAACATCCTGGTGAGTCCCTGCCACTGCCCTCCTCGGCAGCAGAACCCGTCCAGAATGCACTGCTTCACTGGTCACTCTCTCCTCAGGTAAACGAGTCCAAAACCATCCTCAAGCTCTGTGACTTTGGCTCTGCGTCACATGTGGCTGACAACGACATCACGCCATACCTGGTCAGCAGATTCTACAGAGCACCTGAAATTAGTAAGAATCCTGCACCCCTCAGTTGCAATTATTTATCTCTGTACAATATGGGCTTTTTTAAGAGGTTCTCAAGTTGGGTGTCTAGGCCTGTATCTGGCCTCTCTAGGTATAATCAACCTTCTGTCCGGATGTGGTCACAGATTGTCACGGTTTGTCTTCGCAGTAATCGGGAAGCCCTACGATTACGGCATTGACATGTGGTCTGTGGGCTGCACGCTGTATGAGCTGTACACAGGCAAGATCCTCTTCCCTGGAAAGACCAACAACCACATGCTGAAACTGGCCATGGACCTCAAGGGCAAGATGCCTAATAAGGTGAAGGCAGCGGCCACCTCTGCCCCCTTCATGTTACAGTCTTAATGCTGGAGTCACTCAGACTGAATCTGCTTGTTTTCACAGATGATCAGGAAAGGGCTGTTCAAAGACCAGCACTTCGATCAAAACTTGAACTTCTTGTATATTGAAGTAGATAAAGTGACAGAACGGGTAGGTGATTTGCATTTTTGCCTGTATTTTCATACAACATAAATAGGAACGTATTGCTGTTCTACGTTAGTGCTTTAGCACGCCGCCTGTTTGTGTTGCGTTACTTGGCCTCTGTACACAACCAGGTCTTCACTACCCTGGGACATCTAGCAGATACTATGTCTTTCCAATAAATACTCTTAATTTGCATCAAATGGTTTTATTCTTGTCTACAGGAGAAGGTGACTGTGATGAGCACCATTAACCCCACCAAGGACCTGCTGACGGACATGATTGGCTGCCAGCGGCTCCCCGAGGACCAGCGCAAAAAAGTGGTCCAGCTCAAAGACTTACTGGATCAGATCTTGATGCTGGACCCAGCCAAAAGGATCAGCATAAATCAAGCCCTGCAGCACCCTTACATTCAGGAGAAGATCTGACCAAGCTGCGCTCATTCTAAGTACAGTTGGTCTGGCAAACAAAATCACAGTAAATGTGTTAGTCACCACAAAGACTCGATGGAAGAAATACTTTTTAATGTAATGTTTTTCCCATTTTGAAGGACATATCTGTTTTTATTTTTATCAATTTCTCATACAACCAAAGTAGGGGTCCAAGAATAAAGTAAATGTACATATTTTCCTTCTCCGAGGACCTGCAAGATGTGAAGTGAAACGACTTCAGTCTCAGTTCAGCTTTTGTGTTTATGGGCCACGCAGAGTAGTTAAAGTGGAGGAAACCTGCCCTTTGTTGTGATACGTTTAATTAGTCCTGTTTCTGAAGTGCTCGTTCTTGGGCCCTTGCAGGTGTCTGGTGTCGGAGGATATGATGTAAATAGGTTTATCGTACTGTTCAGGTTGTAGGGAAGGTTTATTCTGAAACAGGTTGCCACGGCTGCACAGAACAGGAAACGGAGCGATCCTAATGATTGTATACATGTTTTCACAGTTAGAGTATTTTGTTAAGCATCCACATATACAGCTCTGTGATGGTGTATATGTCAAATGTGTGGTGCAGACCTGGCAGCTCTTGCTGTGTGTGGTGCAGACCAGCGTAAATGCTGTCTATATTCGCATCTCCCCAGGTGAGTGCGCAGGCCCGGCCGCATGCCCCCGCTGTAGCTCTGTGCCGGAGGGGGTCTTGTGTCCTTCTTGAGCCCGCCTGCAGGGACGGCCTCCTCTGTTAAGCAGGTTGTGTACCACTTTCAGTACACTGAAGGTAAGCTCCCCCCCCCCATCACCCTCACTGCTGTCCTCGTGCGCTGGCACGCCGTAGTACGCGGCCCGGGAGCGGCTTCCTGGAGGCCTGACCTCCCTAGGCATTCGTTTTCGTGCCCGTTGCATGTTCTGTGTAAAACGGCAGAGAGTGCATATCTCCATGAAATCCCTTGGCGGTGGGCTACACATGTAAATATAATCTGAGACCATTTAAAGCTGTACTGCTCGCTTTTTTTTGTTGTTTAAAAGCAGGGTGGTAACAAGTCAAATGTGTAGCTCTAAGGGGTGGGCGGTGCTGAGTAAGCTGATGGAGGAGAGTGCCTTCAGTGTACTGCTTTTATTCATAGAATTTCTCCATTTTCACAGCTGTTTTGCAGTTTAGTAAAGTGCAGGCTTTTCCCCCTTTTCTTCTTTAGCTTTTTAAAGATCCCATACACCGCATGTGAAGGCGTAAGAAGGTAGCCTGTCCCACGTCCTGTGTAACAATCTTTTAATCGTGCACTTTTATACAAAAACTAAAGTTTTTCTGGATTTTTTTTCATTATGTTTGTGATCATGTTGTCTTTTGATACAGGGATATTCCTGCTCTGATCTTTGCTTCTGCTTGTTACAAGCGGTAATTGCCTCTTTACTTTTTTCCCCCTTGTACTGTTAATCCATTTCTGGGTATCCTGAGGGAGGTAGACAGAACCAAAAGTGTAGTAGTACATGCGGTATTTTTCTTTGTATTTTCATCTCTTGCTTCTTGTAATCGCAGAAGTCTTCCCTGCATGTGACTGGACGGTGCAGAATTCTTGTGAATTCACAATATGCGTCAAAAGCTGCGTAAAATAAAGTCTTTTTGTGGGAAAAAAAAACACCAGTTTGTGTTTGCAAACCTGATGTTTGTTTTGTTTTTTTTTTTCTTTCAGCATTTATTTTACCGTTCAGTTTGGTCTGTGATGTAGGCCACATAGAAAGAAATGTAGATTGCGTAGCGTGGCTCAGTGTCAGGCTGTGAGGTATTAGGGTGGAACCCCAAATGTTCTTCTCCTGATACTAATGAATGTTTGTGATGTTTTTCCCACTGTTCCCTGTGGTCGCTGAGCGAGAAAGAAAGCAAGTTAAGCCTCCAGGCCAGGGGGCGCTCTGCAGCCAGCCACTACAGCCTCCTGCTTCTCTGAAAGAGACGAGACCTCCAGCTACTTAACAAGGTCATTTCTGATGGCATGTGTAGATTAAAAAAAATAAACAAACTTTTTTTTTTTTTTAATGTGCATCACACAAACACATACTAATGGATGTCGAGTCCTGAGTGCTTTAAGACTCGCGTTCTCGCTTTTTGTGGCCAGATGCTGGAGTAGCATAAAGATGTCTGACAGGACTTGGTGCTGTTGTCCTCAAAATGGTTGTGTATAATTCTCAGACTTGCCAGGTGCTCTAAACTTGCTTAGTCGGTCAGTATCCAAAGTGATTTTATTCTGTTTTTTTTTTTTTTTTTTTTGGTCAGAAGTGACTGGTTCTCTTTTTTTCCCCCCGTCTGTGAGAGTCATCCCCCAATCCCACGCACCTGAGATTTTGAGCTCAGTCAGATACCTGTCAGCCAAAGCCACCCGTGGCTTGCTGTAGCGCAGTCCGGTTTGTGTGGGACCTACTGTTGCCCTTTTTTAAAATTTTATTTATGTATTGTCAGAGTAAAAAATCATCATGCACCTTGCCATAGAAATGGACCAAACTGAACCCACTTGATTCCCTCTTGTTACAAATGTTTCGGTACAAATGCGTCAAGATACTCGTTTATGTGTTCTCTGTATTCTAGGTGCAGTCCATTAGAAGACAGTCACAGGGAACCTCATCTGGACTAAGGTTTCTGTTCTAGAAAGAGTTCTGTTGAGCATTTTGTTTGAGAATTCTATAGGCCTATAGACTTTTTTTCTTAGCAAGTGTATTGCTGTGGGTGAAAGCAGCTGAAGTTGATAATTTGAAGTGTTTGTCTTGATGGAAGTACCACTCTGACCATAATATAGAGAGAACAATATTGAGAATGTCACCCGTAGCAATTTGTACCAAATAGTTTCTGCAAAATACTATTAATACAGGGGAATGGGCATTGATGTATGTGAGTACTGATGTGTGGGGTGTGCCCATTTGGCTTATATGCCGAATAAACCTCAACAAGGTAATGCTTCTTTTCTCCTGTTTGACATTCCACGTTGCTTTTAGGTCACATGGTTGACAAACTTTCTTCTGTTGTCCTTCCAGGGTAAGCTGCTGTTCATCCTGTCATCTGATCACACAAGACCTCACCCAGAGAGCCTGAAACATCTGAACAGTTTCATTTGTGCATCATTTTCAGCAGCTTCTTTGCCCTGTGCTTGGACATTTCATCCAGCTCCTTAGTTGCATACATACTCTTAATACATACTCTTACTGTTAATATGTACAGCTTTGGGTATATTGTACAATAAACTGCCTTTTTATGGAGAAACAGTGTAAATTGTGCCATTCTTTGCAGCCGCTCGTATTGTACATGTAGTCATTTTGGTTCTGGTCTATACATTAAATCAGCTTTACACTAGTGGTGAAAATAGGGAAATACCTAGCATTTTTGGTTTTACCCTTTAAAAATTACTGCATGAATATTAGTATTGTTTATAAACAAAGTGTATTACAAATATAGTATACATTTCACACTTCCATAATTAATTGGAATAAAGTTCTATAATCTTTAAAAATTGTAAGTGCTTCCACAATTTTGACCACTAGTGTAAATATTTTTTGAAAGTTAAAGGTTTGAAAACCATTACATTTTGTTGATGGTCTAGCATCAAGTTACCGACGAGTACTAGTGGAGTATGCCCAGGCGTACCTGAATGCCCTGGGGCCTGTTTCACAAAGCAGGATTACTTGCTTAGCCAGATAGCTTGCCAGATTTAAGGTAGTCTGGGCTAAATGTAAGTTGATGAAAATAAGGTCTATTTAGCCCAGACTACCTTAAATCTGGCAAGTTATCTGGCTAAGCAAGTAATCCTGCTTCGTGAAACAGGCCCCTGGATGACTTCATCACATATCGCAATAGACCCTTAGCTGAAATAAACACCACGTGGCCTCCTCACGCCTCTTGGTTTGGCCCAGTGTGCTCCTCCCTTGTTGGGCCTGGTGGTTTTCTCAGAGCTTTGTTTTGGAGCTTCTTTGCCTTGCAGTAGCCCTTTGGTTTAGAATGGAGGCTGTTCGTATCTGACCTTTTGAACTGAAGCGTCGGCGTCCTGTTCGGCTTGGCCGACTGCAGGTGTGCCGACTCCGAGTCACTTGCACATGAAGCCGTCTTGTCCTGCTGGGGATTAGCTGGAGAGCATGTAGCAGGTCTTTGTGAAAGTGTGAGCTCTGAGAAGCCAGCCAGGGTGAGACAGGAACCCACACTTTCTGTGTCTGCTGTGGCTGTTGAGCATTCCAGCTGGTGCCTAACAGTGTCCGTCTTTCTGAATCGGAAGGCACTCCTCTTAGTGCACGTTGCAGTAGATGGCCGTACTCTGCCTGCTTTGCTTCTCTCTTTCTGAATGGTAGCCGCCTGCATCTTCTCTATCGCTGTCAGGCGGCTGACGATGGCAGCGATGGTGGGGTCTTGTGCGTGTAGCTCCCGACACAACTCCCAATCTGCGCTGCCCTCTGACTTCTGGCTTAGGTCCAGCATCTTTAAAGGAGCCGGAAGGAACTCTGGGTAGGGTAACTGGCTTTCTGTTGACTCGTCATAGTCCATAGGCCCGAAGCTGCTTTTGAAAGTCTCTGGCCTCAGTTCAACACCCACCGGAGTAGTGCGCCCTGAGGCCTCGATGCCCTGCCTCTTCTGCTCTGAGATGTCACCGTCATCGCTGGCTGTGGTTGCTGCTCCCTGGCCCTCTTGGCAGTGATAGCTCATCCTTGTGATTCGTCTGCGCTTAAGTAGCTGGAGGAGGAGGTGTTCTGCATGGTCTCTCCATCACCGCCTCTTCGGCCTCCTGGGTGGGCCCCGTGTTAGTTGCGACCTCTCCTTCACACGCTGCTGCTGCCCTGCTCTTTACCCACTGCATTGTGCACAGGTAGCTGCTGTAGAGGTGATGAGTGCCGTGCACAAAGCATTAGTCCTTCCCACCACTGTTCCTGTAGCTTCGTGTTGATCACACGCAGAATGTAGCCTCCCTTCACAGCAATGTCACTAAGCGTCCTGCTATTCTCCACAGATCTGAGGTCAGTTCTGCTGTGCAGTATGAGTATAGGATAGGTAGAGACATTGATATAGTATAGCAAATGGTGGTAGAGGCAGCAAGGATGGACTTGTTTGATCCCTAAGGCAACAGAAAGTGGGAAGCTGACACCGGCTTGCAATGAGCTGGGTCCCGGGCGGTCACGGCAGGTGGTTTGGCACACGCCTCAGGGTTGGTGAAAGATAGTAGGAACATGGAAAAGAAATACACACCGATTCAGGGATAAGGATAAGGATTCATATTGATTTGATTTCAGAGATAGGGATGTGTGCCTGTTTTATCAAAACATTGTACCACGCAATGACGATTTATTACCTGTATGTTTATTTCATACAGGTAAAGAGAATTTCCAAAAATTAAGATGCTTTATGTTGTGCAAGGATATTTTTAGTGCATCTTGATTACACCTTGACCTTTCGCATCTTGCCAGATTATAAGTGTACACTGTTAACTGGATAACATGATTACCTGGCAGAGTTTTGCAGTGTCTTTGGTATTCTCCACCTGGCTGTAGCTGGTCTCAGGTATTACATGGGATAGACACACACCCTAAAGGAGGAGATTATTGGCCAGCTTCTCACAATCCTGAGACGGACAAAGTGACTCAGAGCTGCCTAGGTGTGCCAAGCGTGCAAGCGAATCACACGATCCTAGGCATCATGTCTCCTAAATGTGTACAGCAGGAGGTGTTAAGCCACTTACCCTCGATCTGGCTGCAGGTCGTCTCCTCCTCGCTGTTAAGGCATAGCTCATGTCATTTGTAATAATGCACACTTCCTGTCATCCAGCAGTTTCGCATTTTGTAGTTCCCGTCAATCCTCTTTTCTCGCTGAGCTCTAACCCTTTTCACGGCCTGGAGGAAGCAGCAAGACATGTTTTAGGACGGCTATCCTGACAAAATCGCCATCTGACCTCACCATCAACCCGACCATTCGAGCGCATTTCATGCCCGTCTGTGTCCGGAGAACAATGGGGCCCGGCACGGCTTAGGCTGCGTTAATAATGGCCAACGTCTCGGATTTCTCCGCCATTAGCATTCGTCAATTAGGACTTGTGTCGCTGGTGTCGTTTAAAACGGTACTGGGAGGATCTGATGCGCTGTAACCCAACTCTGAAAACATAATTAAAAACAACCAATTGAAAAGTAAAATGCAATTAGCTAGATAACTTTGTCTAGCTCTCTAATTAAATCCCTCAGTCGACATGAATGTGAAGGTCCTGAAACCATGACAACAGTTTGAGCGTTAAGGAAATGCCACTTTTCCTGTATTAGTGGTACATGTCTAGATGTCCTCGAATGCAGGTCTTTAAGAAAGCGTGAGCTCTGAGAAGCCAACCTGAGTGAGACAGGACTCCGCACTATCCGTGTCTGCTGAAGCCTGAGATGAACAGGTCACCACCAGAAGACCAAACACCTCTCCTGCTTTCCATGGGCGCCTGAATGTCCTTCAAGGTGAGCTCACCTAGATACGAGCCTGTTCCTTTGTGTCTGAAAATGAATGCTACCTTCCATCTGCCACAGGGTGGCGCTGCACTACCCATTTTTTCCCCTGTTGGGGTACCCATCACCCACGCCTCCACAGCTGCTGGTCTTTCTGGTCATAATTTTCATAACCTGCTCCCCTGCCTGAGTACGGCCCGGAAGAGTACAGCTGACACAGAGTATTACATCATACTTTGACCTTGATGCAATATTTATACAAAAACTGTAGACACCTGGGCAGCCCTGGATGACAGGAACTAACATTTCCTAAGAAGGCAGGCAGGCAGCAAGGGACCCCTGGGGGTCTCTGTGGCGTCCAGTCATGGTAGTATGTGTAGTATTAGCCTCTCCATCTTAGGGTACTCCTCCCAGTAGGGCGGCAACGCTCAGCAGCACATCTAGAGATCCACAGGGTGCCTGTGGATGCAGTGGAGTCCACTACCTGTTGTGGTGCACTGAGCTCACACATGGACCCACCGCCATGTGGGGATTGCTGCTGAGGGGGATCTGACCATGGCTGCGTGCAGACTGATGGCTAGAGCCTGGAGGTAGAGGTAGCATGAGAGACGCAGAGCTGCTTCCCCTATACATCACAGTCACCGGCCCAGCCTGTACAATGCGGCCATGCAGCCAAGAGCGCCTTTCACTTCTGACACGACACCATTTTCCTTCAGTCTGGCATTAGGACGTAAGCTGTAGCGATTATTGTGCAACAACTTCTGAAGGCACCGCACACACAATTTGAACTAGCTGAGGGTGTCAGATGTAATCATCCATTCATGTTCCAAACTTCCAGTACAGGGTTCAGGCGTGAAATAAATAAATATCCAGAATATTATTTACAAGTATATAAAATGAGTGACGATTGAGGATCTCTACGTTTAAGTCCACAAGGTTTTCAGGATCAGTTATATTCTACTCCTCCTTAAGGAGATTACAATTACATGTACGTGATCCTTGGAAAAGGACTCGCATGTGGGGCTTGGGGGGGTGGGGGGGGTGGGGGCTAATGTTGACCTTAACCCTTCTGCAACTTGGAGATCCTTGGGACTTTCCCATCCTGCTAATTTTACACTCAAACTCTGCACTGATATAGAACTACAGCTGGTGCCGGGAACATAATGTGCTGAAAAAGGCGAAATAAAGGAGGGACAGACACCTTAAGGCAGTGGGTCTGAAAACACATGGAAAACAAGGTAGGAATGATGGACACGATGCCCCCCACTTACCTGAGAGACGCCCAAACTCCTTTGGAAATCAGTGCCTGAAATTCAATCGGTTCGTCGCACCGGCTAAATTACTGGTTCAGTGAGGTCTCATGTTTTCCAGTAGTGGAAGTTTAATCAGTGGGTAATATTCCATTTTAATAGACCTCAACTGCTTATCCTGCTTTGAGGGTTAGTGGGTATAGCGGGCATATTGGGTATAGGGTTAGGATTAGTGGGTATAGCGGGCATATTGGGTATAGGGTTAGGGTTAGTGGGTATAGAGGGCATATTGGGTATAGGGTTAGGATTAGTGGGTATAGCGGGCATATTGGGTATAGGGTTAGGGTTAGTGGGTATAGTGGGCATAGTGGGTATAGTGGGTAGGCCCGGAGTGGCCAGTCAGGAAACCCTGTGCTGTGACCCCCAAGCTTGCTCTCACTTGCATGTGTGTCTCATGGAGAGCATGATGGGTAGGTGAAACAATAATTTCCCCATATTGATTGATAATCTCTTGCTATTTTATTCTACGGTCTGAACTTGGCCCGTCCCTACATAT